CCGGCAACGAGCGGGTTTTTTTTGCTTTGCTTAGTCCAGTTATTAAAACTGAGTATTTTTGGCTTGCCAAAAATAGCTGTGCGATGACTTGCACCCCGCTGGTTCTCGCTGGCCCCGCGTTACGTAGGGTCCAGCCCAGCGCCCGAGCGAGAGGGGTTGTCCGGGGCCAAGGGAGCGCAGCAGCCAGGAGCCCAGGGCCCCCGGCGCCCTGCAAAGCCCCCCCCAGGGGCTAATTCGGGCTCTCTGGGAGGGTGTTTTAGATAACTGGGGTCTCTGGTACGCATGCATAAGGGATAACCTCATTTAGCAGGTCAATTAGTGTCCTTGGTGGAAACGGCACCAGCGCTCTCCCAGCCCGCCCGCAGACGAGGTTGGGAAGCGCAGCGCAGGCAGCGTGGCTGGGGGCGGGCCCGTGCACCCCCCCAGGATGGCTGTGGCTACGGACTCGTGGTTGAGAGGGTAAAGCTGCCCTCTTCATCTTTGCTCTCAGCCTCGTGGTGGGATGTGCGTCACCATTCCCGCTGGAAGGGCAGCGCAGGTTTACTGGCAGCACTGGGGGGGGTGTGTGTTCATTTGTTCTTAAATACTATACCGAGAAACTGCCCCAGCTGGCTTACAAAGGAGTAGTTTATGAGCAAAGTACTTCAGAAACCCTATCCATAATCAATGGTAAGCACACTCAGAACAGCTCTGCTGCCCCGCTGATGGCATCCCTGGGCCAGGCTTTAGGAACACAAGACAATTTCCCTATCTTCACACAAAATTTTATTTTGATACAGGCACTTACTTGCAACTATTCTACTTATAGTTTGGCAGTATCAGCAGTACACTTGCTAGAGGAGCAGAGTTCAATATTCATTCAGAGTACAATATTTGGATGAGACAGCTCTAGGTGCCCATGTTCTTCTCCAAACGATGCATCTGAATTTTTAATGAGCCCTTTATCTCAATTATACCTGGAGCAAAGCAGACGAGATCAGCCTTCAATTTACCTTTGGGGTTACACTAGTCATAGGCTCTGGGTACCAGGAAGGTATTTCTGCTGTGGTTAACTATAATGGCTATACCTGTCTAGCCAACCCATGCCCAAAGTCAAGTACAGATCTTCAGAGAAAGTCTTTTTCCTCATATATATATATATAATTATCTATAGCATAATCCTCATCATTCATTAAAATTCAGAAGTAGATAAATAATGAATAGATATGCTATTTAGTTACAGTAAATAAGCAGTTCCTAGCCTTTCCTTTGTGATGGTAAATCCAGGCTTGGACGGGTAACAAAACACCCGGCCCCTCTCCCCCTGTGCCCAGTCCTGCACAGGCCACCGCAGCCAAAGGGGCGGCATTGAAGTCTACGCCCTGTCCAAGTCAGTCTGATAATAGGACTGACTTGGTTTTGTGAAGTGATGCAAAGCATGATGTAACACCCCGCTGTGTGCTTGCCGCGGGACTAACAAAAGGGGTTATTTTGGAGAGTTCAGAGCAGGAGCCTTCAGGGCAGTCGGCTGCCCAACCTCTCTGTGTTGCTGGGAGAGCACCCAGAGAACATTACAGGCCAGACGGCAGCTGGAGAAAGGAAAGCTTCTACGCCAGGGCAAAGCAGAGAACACAGATACAGTGCCTAAGGTGAGTGTTTGCAGCCTCCTTCCCAGTCTTTTTTTCCTCCCCCTCAGCTGTAATAGGAACAGGGACCTTCTACTACTCAGGTAAATAAGGTGAGAAAGCTCATACTATTAGGAACATGCAAGAAACACCTCTCTTGGAAACCGGGATGAAACACCTCAGCGCATCCTCAAGAGCGCAGATCAGAACGAGACACCGCGTGGCCAGTCCTGCCGACAGGCAGCACAACCGGATTCCCCAGTATCAGGAGACTTCACTGACCTCTGCGTGTCCTGCCTGAACTTGGACTGCGCGAGAAAAAGGTACGGCAACTGTTTTAAAAAGAAAAAAACAAAACCAAAAAACAAACCACAAAAAATCCAACACAGAAGCGACAACGTAACGACAGAATTTCTACAGTTTTTTTTACTTAACATTGTGTCGATTTAGATCCATGTACAGTTTTGTGGAAAACTTGAATAATAGCATAGCTTATTTAGGATAACAAAAGCTGCAAAGGCCACTGAAAGCCTTAAATGTGCAAAATACAGTTCATCAGAGTTTTTCCCCGCTGCTGCCAAACCAATGCAGACAGGTATCACAGCAGGGCAAAGAAGAGTATAAGCCAGGCTAGAAATATTTCTCTATTTCTACCCCCACAGTTCAGAAGTTAACTCTTAAACTTACCACTATAATAGGGATTTGAGAAACCCAGAGAGCCATCAGCACCAGAAAATAAAAACAAAGCTCCACAACTGGAAAACTCTGAAAACTGGATTTTTTTTTTTTATTTACAAACAAAACAAGCTATTTACTGCATTAGGCCTTCCTGAATCTGGTTTCTTGAAGCAAGTAAGAAAGCTTCAGTTAATGTCCTTTAGCCTCAAGAGTGGTTTATTTTTTATAATTATACACTAAACAAAAGAGCATGTGCAAACAGCATTTCAATGCATACTGCTGTACACCTGGGGACAGGCAACTTTCCTTTTTTAAACTTTGGCTCTCTCGGCAGTTGCTCTGCTGCAGACATCTCGCCCGCAGCGCATCTGTGCGACACAACCAAAGTAAAGACCTGTGGTGCTTTCTATTTTGTCCGTGTTTCTCCCCTCATTCCCCCCTGGATCAGCATCTCCCTGTAGACCATCTTTCTAGAAACTTAAACCTGCTACCTCTTTAAACAACTGGACCTGCAAGAAAGGAAGTTTCCAAAACACGTCTGCTGAAATACAGCCACCGTTCACCATCTTAACCTAGGATTTCATTTTTGCATTTGTCTGAAGTCAGTTTTTAGCTGAACGTTTTTGGAGATGACAACCAAAGCAGAGCACAAGAGACTCCAGGAAGAGGTTTCTCAGATTAAGACAAATTGGAAAATATTCCTGAAGATTTTTCCAAATTACAGTTTTTCAAAAATGTTTATGAACTTGGAGACTTCATGATGAGCTGTGGTGCCAAGGGGCAGATGCCTTAATCCCTGGGCAGGATAATAAAAAAAAATTGGTTAATTATATTTCAGTAATTTGTTATTAAAATGTCATTTTTATAACAAGTTGACATTGACATATTTGATACATGATATATCAGTTATATATTTAAATATATAATTTGGTAAGTGATATATTTGTCATTGATATCCTTTGTTGTTAAATTCCAAAATACAAAGATACTCACTGCATTGTGAAAGAAGTTGCAAAGATGCTTTGCCCACGGACACCTAAAAACCAGATACAGATTCTTAATCCACTTTCTCATAGGGACAGACCTACTCCCAGCTTCAGCCACTCTGAGTTTTGCATTACTCAAAGCTTTACAAGAAGGCTAATCCAACAATTCACTTCAACGTCAAAATGGAGCCAATTTTGGCATCAGATATACAGTAAAATAATTAAGACAAAGACAGACCATAAGAATCAGGATTTCGTCAGATTTTCCTGGATCACTGCTAGAGCATACTGTAAAGCCTCACAGAGCAAAAGACACTTAATAGAACTGCATATTTGTTAGATACAAGCTTAGCTTATTCACAGCTGAGCGAAGTCAGGTGTTTGATTTTCTCTGCTACACACAGCAAAGGCTGGAGAAAAGAAACAGAAGCATTTGACAAAAGAAGGTCACCTTACATGTCCATGATTTCCACTTAAGACAGTTACTAAGAGGTGAATTCTCAACATCACTCTGCTGCCATCAGGTATGTGTGAATCAAAAGTGCCAGAGCAAGCAACTCCTCTGCCTTCCAGTATACAACTACAGAGTCAATTTTAAAACTATTATGTCAATACTCTAAAGCCTGTAATGCTTCACTGCGTAACAAAGGACAGCAAGGATTATACTTACAAACAGCTAGCGCTTTCACAAGTGACACATCAGTGTTTTATTATCATTTGCAATCTAAATAAAGTACTCGGACTTTTTCAGAACTCTGTTTTCCCCTCCCACTGAAGCTTCGTGCTGCTGCAGAACAAGCGGTCTCTCTTCTTTTGAGAGAGGGTAAGAATGACAGGCACAAACTTAATGCTGCCCTCAGTTTGCATTACAGCGCGCACATGTTCCTGAATCTTTAGGTGTTGGCGGGGACCTACTCCTTCAATACCACATGCAGTATTTCTTGCAAGTTTAACAGAAAGGTTGACATCTGTACACCCATTGTATCCTTGTAGATATATAATAATATACATGTTGACCTACTTTCAACTATTTTCTCTAAATAAAGTTTTATGCAGTATTATGTCTCCTTAGAGTCTAGTAACTCCTCTGCTACAAGTCCTAATTAAAGTCTTTTGGGTGTTGTTGATGACAATGATATTTAAGTAACAGAACTAGACTGTACCATATGTTATCCTGATGACTGGTCAGGGTTCCAAGAGCAGACAGCGTGTTTTCATAACGTGGGGCACCGGGAAGCGAGAAGGCCATTTGGTTGCAACAGGTAACACAGAGCAATTTAAAACCTACCCAAACCATCGTATTCAGTATCTTTCTTCCCTGTTATTAGCAGTGTTAATTAATAGTAAGAATGAATTGTGAGTTAAGAATCAAGAGAAAACTACCATATCAGTGTTGCAACATGTAACGATTTTCTATTTGGCTGTGATGAAGATTCACACTTACATATGCAGGTTCTCCATAATAATATTGAGAGTGAACAGGCCAATGGATTGCATCTTCTTATGTCTGCAAGTTAGGAACAGGCAAAGGAATTCACCCACGTACTGTGGACCAAGGTTTTGCCACCTAAGCAATACAAAACCAGGAAACAGAACACAGCTGTTCAGAGATGACTTTCCCCACTGATTTCTAGTATCTTATTTGCATTCTTGACTTATCCAAAGCAGTGGCCTGGCTGGTTTCAAAGTGCTAAGGATTGTATCTCTGCTAAACGTTACAGCTGCGGGAATGCTCTTATGGTTTCCATAAACAGACAGACTTCAGGGAGCAAGTGCTTACTCACAGTTTTAGCATTGTTGCTTTCTGACGATTTAGATCTCTCAAAATCAGGTTGACAGTGCCATGGAGAACATGTTCTTCATAGGAAAGATGGTCCAATAACAGCCTCAGAGCCCAAAAGTTATTCTAGGAAGAGACAAAATAAGACCAGTGATTTAAACCTAATTGTCCACCATTTCTTAAAGAACAGAATAAATTAAAGGTCAATAAAGCTTAAGGGGAACAAAACCAAGCTAAATGTGTCTAAAGCCTGCAAGTTGGTGTTACACAGATTTTAACTAGAATTTGCTTTAGTCTTAGAACAGAAATCAGTATCTAGGACTCACCCCAAAAGCCAGGGCTATCTCTAAGAAGGAAGTCAAGTATGGAAGATCACAAAAAAGCATCTGTTGTACTGCTTGCACCGCGAGAATAAGACAAGCCTCATGGTGTAACTACAGGAAGAGATATCAACAAGAAGAGACATATTTAAAATCCCACTTTACCACTGCTTGTATATTGTATCCAGCCAAATCAGTGCTAAGTTATTACCATTCTGGTCGACAGGCTGGATGATCCACAAGACTGTTATGAAAACCAAAAGAAAGAGTAAAGACCTTATGAAGACCAAAAGAACAGGTACTTCTATTTATACAGCATCTTTCACCCGGTGCTCTCAAAGTCCTCACTGAACCATGAAGTCTCATACCATCACAGAAGGAGAATTAAAGGAAAAAAAAATTCTGGCCCAGGAGTCACATATTAGGAGAGTAAGCTAAAAGTAATTTCCTCAAAAGAAGTAAAAAAGAATTGGATGGCTCCTTAGATATATTGACTGTATTTAATATAGAATACATTTCAAGTCATCTTTAAACATGTTCTACTACAATTGAAACCATCATTCAAAACAAGTTGAGAAATTCTGGGCTATTCCGAGTTTTGAGACAAACACATGGGCAAGCCTCAAAGGATAATCCCCGGTTTGATTCAAACACCACAAGATTACCCTGTGAAAAGTTAAGACGAAAGTCAATTACCACCATCCCACTTTATAAATGCATAAATTTGGACAGTGATGAAGACTTGTTCTAGGTTGAAGATCGTGTCAGACCAGAACAGACCCTAATAGTTTTCTTACCTTTGGGTATCTGCTCTAGCCTTTAGATTGTGCTAAGAACAACCTTATGCCGATCCCTCCCCCCCACCCCCAATCTTCAAGCCCCCTCTTAAAAGCTTTTCATAATAATCCAACTGTTTTCAATACTGCTGTATCTTTCAGCACAGTAAAACAAATGGTAAGTTTCCTGATCACCATGTGTACACTTACATGAGGGGAGAAAATAGCAGGTGGGAAAGAAACATTAATTTTTGCCTTCAGTTCCTCCAAAAGGCTGCCACTGGCAGCGAGCACCCCCTGCAACAGAAGTAATGAGTCACAAGTAAAGGGGAAGGATGTCCAGACACTCTACAAACAAACAGTGCCCAAGATGATGTTTTTTTAACACGCTTTTACTTATTTTTTCAGCATTTTTACAGATGAGGTTGACTGTTCAACACCATACTCACGGAAAGTTGAGAGCATTAACAGCATTAACCAAATCATATCACATAACCTCTTCATTTCAACATACTGTGCTTAGCAGACAGTTATTTCTGTCCTCGTGAAGAAAATATCCAGATAATGACTCTTTAGGACTATCTGAACACATTTTTCTTAAACTGCTTTCATATCCATTTTGTTACCTGATCCATCTCAACGTTGAACGATACAGAATCAGTATCAGGCATCGAGCTGCAAGCAGAGTTAATCTGTTTGCTGTTGCATTTAACACTCCTGAATCACAACATTTTGCGAAGTGTTACATTTGGCACATACCACAAGAGTATTTGATGACGGACTGTAACGTTAACCTTAGTATTTAGGAGAATAAGCCAATGCCCACATCAAATGAAGTCTTGTATAAAACCAAGACAACAGATTCTCCCATTTCACAGTACTGTTTCAGTTACCTTTTGGAAGTCAAGCGGTGGCTCTTTCAGGGATAGAGGATGTAGGTGCCCACTTTTTTCCAGCAAACTGCTACTACCCAAAATCATGATGAGGGAACTCCAGCATTTAGGCTGAAACACAGCAGAACATTTGTTTTACAAAGTCAAATCCGTTCACAGAGGTGTAAACTGTTCAGAGACCAAAGGGTTCTGATAGTAAATCGTTACATTAGAGAAGTAACTGGACAAAACAGGTAAAATCCAGAAACACTCGATGGGCCACAGAAACGCAGTTTTAATAGAGACTCACATTCCTGTACAGTGACACATTGCTGTAAAGGAGTTTGAGCGCCTGCTTAAGTAGAACACCATCTTTCAAAGGAGACCCTGCAAGAAGAAAAAATCCAAAACATAATCTTATATTCCCTGAATAACTAGACAGTGGGAACCCAAACAAGATATTCACTTAGTTACAGATAGGTTTCTACAGAAAGCTAACAGAGACAAATGAGTGTCTACAGCTATTTTACAATATTTTGTAGGTTTCTATTAAAAAAAAGCATCATCAACTGTAAAATGCTATTCCAGAAAGCTGCAAAGAACTGAATACAATTTAGACTAAGCCGTCACAGCAGGTGACACAGAACAAAGTCTTCATTGTGTACATCACACCACAGTACAGTGTGATACACACTGTCAGTATCTCGTACTTCTAAGCATTCTGCTGGTAGCTGAATATCTCTAAAATAAATCTTTCATTTCAGAATACACCTTGATAAGTAGCACACACCAAGACAGATGATCAGAGTTATCAGTGGCTGAACTAATGACAGAATGCAATACACAGATCATGAAACCCTTTCCATCAGGAAGCCTTTATTCTTAAGGTCAAGGCTGAGACATACCATAATGCTAAGTTACACACTGCCATTCGTAATGCCATGATGTAATAGAGAGCTTTGCATTTTCTTTAAATAGGTTGCTTTCAGCAAATAACTTTGCAGCTGACAAAACTAGTGTTTCGTGTGAAGTGTACTAAACAAATTCGCACTCAAATATAAAGACATTCTTCCTGCCTAGCGTTATGTATCATGCTTTAGTCCAGACAATTTATAGTTGGGTTAAGGGTCCCTCAGAATGCTAATAGATTTAAAGAAAAAACTAAAAGCTGTAATTAAGTAAGGTTCTAAACATATGTAAGCAAGAAATGACACTTGCCAACTGTAATCCAGGGCCCAGAGTCTAGCATATCCTTCCCAGTGGGGATGCTGCCTGTTCTGAACATCTTCAGGTAGACCTCAAACTGAAAAGGCGTTATCCGGCAGGCAGTACAGCAGGCGAGGCTATTGACGGGAAACAGCAGCGAATGTGCAGCATCGAGGAAGTCTCCAGTTTTACACAAGTAGAATGGGATTTTATCTCGAAGGTCTCTTAACCTGGAAAGAAGGAAGAAATTAATATTTGATTTTCATTAAAGTTTTACAATAGGTATGTATAGATCTGATTATGCTTGACCACCACTTAAGTTACATCCGACAAGGCAGAAATCGGTTACAATGCAGTATTGCTTTCACTCAGCAAACAGCTGCCAAAATCCTACTGCTTTTCATTCTGCCAGTGTATTACACATTGAAGAAACACAGACTGGGACACAATCTTAAGGCAAAGAAACGATTAAAAAGAAAAAAGAAAAAAGCCATTTACCCTTTGGTATCATTGCATTTCACAGCTCTCAGGTAGCGAACAACTTCTTTATAGCTGGAGAGGAAAAAAAGAATGTGAGTAGGAAGGGGAAGGATGTGCAAAGCTATACACAGGTCAATCAAGTATTTACTACAATTAATGAAGCAAAACAGTAGATCTTCCCACACAAGAGATGTATTTCTATCCTACCGAGCAACAACTGGCACAAAGAGACAGTTGGAAATGAGTTCCAAGAAGCTATCTACAGATTCTCTGTACTCTGGCAAAATAAAACAGGAGGTTGCCTTTCAATTTGATTCTTTCTGTGGACTGTATTCTTTTGACTTCTGAAGATCTAGAGACCAGAACACACTTTTTTGCTGTCTTCCACCTAGTCAGCCTTTGATGAACGAATTTCTTTTAAACATCAACATCTAAAACTTACTGGAGTTATGGAAACAAAGAAATTATCCACTTCAACATTCTTGTCTGGTCCTGAAGTGTTCAAAGGGCTTTATTCTGCTTTGAAAAAAACTTCAGAAATCTACTAGCCCTGTTGATAGGAAGTAATGGGCATGAACAGCTTCACATGTGTCTGTGTTTTGTATCTTTCCCCATTATAAAAAACTCCTGCAGATGCTAGGAAAACACTATACTGCAGTCAATAACATGCAAAATGTAAAAGTTAAGTTCATAAAATGAAAAATCCAAAACAAGACCAAATTGATCTTACTTCTTTTTGTCTACCAACTTCTCCACTCGAGCCTCTATAACAGGGAGTGTTTCCCACAGAAATACTTTTCTTCCTTTCTGTGTTCTTTGACCAGTGATGTTCTGGCCTTTTAAAACCGTGGTCAGTAATACATGGTCCCATGGCACAACATTCAAGCTGGAAGTACAAAAAGAAAGTAATTTTTAAATTGTGGTGTACAAACACGATTATTTCCCTTAAGTAACATACATGTACATGGACAACAACTTAGCCATAGCATCAAACACCACCTTTTCCTTTAAGGACAGGGCAAATACAAAGCAGCTAATACCGAAATCTTCCTATAAAATGCTTACACCTAACACTATCAGTGAAAGAACCATTCTATACAGCTGTTTTCAAATCAAGCAGCTATATTAAAAAAATAGATTCTGTAAACAAAAAACAAAGAACATACCTATTTGAGAAGCCAAAACAGTGACATGGAAGTGAGATGGACTGAAAAAAATTCACAAACTTTTCATACAAATTCTTTGGAAAGTCACACAACACCAGCATCCTCTGAAGTTGTGTTGTGATCCTATGTTTTGGAAAAAAAAAAAAGAAAAATCAAAATCTCTTAAAACCAGATGAGTTACTATTAAGTTGTTGTGTTTTTTTAATCCTATGGGAAACTATTCTAGAGAATTATGAGGCTTCTTTGGTTAAATGTCAGATAGACAGTTTGGATCTATATTTAAATTTGTGCTTTAAGACTTGTAGTGAATAATGGTATTGCTCTTTTGCTATTACTTTTAAACACCAGTGAAACCAAGATTCTGCAGTCTTAAAAAGATCCCCAGTGAGTATATGTGAGAAACACTGCAGAAACATGAGTGCCCCACTAAGCAACCTAATCAACCTGAGCTCCTCGCAGCTTCAAATCCAGTGAAACCATTTTTGTCTTAACTGAAAACTGGAGATAACACATTGACACAAAGGAGAGTTTACTCCTTTAAAATCAGGGGAGGGAAACAAAAAATTCCTTTTCCTGTTCTTTCAAAGTAAGAAATTAAAAAATTCAAGAATAGTAATTTAAAATGAAAACTAATATAGGATTTAGGTTATACCTGTCATTAGTTTCAAATAAGAGATTAGAATATATAATTATTTTTGGGTGCTCCCAAAAAAAGTTAATTGTTAATTCATTAACCTTCTGTTGCAAGTGATTTTCGGGTTAAAGGTGAAATACAAAGCTAAAATGAGAAATGAATTAAGCCAAGTGAGCTAGATGTCCTCATTCATTAGCCTCTGGGGGAACTTTGCTATGTTACATCCCTGACTACTCCATCCCAGCGGAGTACTACAAGGCTGCTGTTTTGATCTTTAACAGACACTATTTACTCTTTGGCTTAATAACCACAAGTAGCTACCTGACACCACCTTCTGGTCTGGCCTTTTACAGAACACTCCTACAGTCCGAAAGTAATCCATCTTCTTGGCACTGAGTTCCCCACTGAGTTATTCTCCTCTGAGGCAACAAAGAAGGGTTTGAGTGTTTATGTGGCTCTAAATAAGGCAGGTATTGCCCTTGTCCTTCATGGAAAGGGACTAATATTAAACAGAAATAAAAATCCTGATTTGCAGTGTACAGCTGTAGAACCTGACAGCACGCTGAAGTCCCTGCTCATTAGACTGACCGGTGCATGTCGCTGTTTATATCCTTCCTGTTATATCCTTCCGCCTGTCGCTACTCATCTGTGGTCTGCACGCACGCAGCAGCGGGCTATTCGTGCTCTGCTCAAACAATGCCTAAGACAGAACAGTGGGGTCACGTTCCCCGATAAGGGGTTCTCGATGCTGCAGAACCGTAAGATTATATACACCTGTGCAAATTTACTTTTGGCTTTCAAGAGCTTAAGCATTCACTTTTTTTCTTCATGCCTTTGAACAGAAGTCATTTTAAATGCATTTTAAATGCCAGCAGAAAGTTTGCAGCCAGCAACCATTCCATTGCCACCTCAACATCATGTGATAAGACAAGTCTTACCTTTGTAACAGACAAGGCACAGCAATCTTTAATGAAGCAGTATGACCAAGGTTCTGCCAGCTTCTAAGAGCAGAGGAAAAAAAAGCACTAATTAATGTTTGGCTGTTTTTTTTGCTGCCTTTACTGCAGAGTAAAGCAGTACTAAGCCTTCTAACCTGCCATATCAGACCATCGTGGGCACATCTTTGCTTTTACAGGGCCTCTGAAGGGCTGTATATCATCATGCCATGAGAGGGCCAAACCACATCCCATGTAACTCCAGTGTATGCTGCAGGACTCACAAGCGTACAAAGAGAGACCTACCCAAATAATGCATCCAGCCCCCTCCTTGCAAACCTTGACAGAAAGAATTGCAGAGGAGCTGCTGTTTCTGGCCTGTCAAACCAACCCAGACCATGTTTACTTCTCCTTTATAAAGAAGTCTTGAATTTAAGCCCCAAAATGTTTAGGTTTTGCAAAGCAAAGCTCTGGGACCCTGCTCAAGCATGAAACAGCCATGATAAACAAGAAAATAACCAGCACAAGTAGTAAAGACTGAAGTATTTAAAGTCTGGTTTTGTTTACTTATCATGCACTCCCTCCCAGCTGACAGGTCAGCCTCCAGACTTATGCGAGGCATCTAAAACTTATTACCCAAGGAACATCACATCCTCCCTTCCTTTCAGGTCAGAAGCAGGTGTTTCTTCACTCAACACAGCTTCTGCATTCTCCTCTCAGGAAAGCTCCTCTGCCCCTGTACCTTCTCCTGAGGAATTAACCTCACCTGCCATCATCTGCTGTCTGGCACCCTCTCTCCTCCCAGTTCTCATCTCAAATTCCTTCCCCTCATTGGAGATCATCTCCCCCCGCTCATGACTCAGTCCCACTTAACTTTTTCCTCTCATAACCAACCTTTAACCTTCTCTTTTCCCCAAAATCCCTCCCTGTAACCAATCTCATTTCTTCCTCAGGTGTACTCATTTTCCTCTCATTGTGCTGCAGCCAGGGCTGTGATCTTTACACTGTCCTTACCCTCAATAAATGGAAAACCAGAACTCTCTTGCTTAGTCTCATCCCTTTGAGGAGCAAATGAAGATTACACACTAGGTGTGGAACCGGATACTTACAAGGCAGGGTCTTTATGAAGTGCTATCTCTTTAGCCGCTCCCAGAAACATGACCGCAGCAGCTTTAGGACTCTCTCTTTCTGCCTGATTCAAAAAGCTTGTTACCAGCGCAAAAACTCCTGAATACCTAAGAAAGTTAAGTAGTCTATAAGATAACGTGTCTGCAATGATGTACTTTGTAAACAAATGGCAATTATGACTATTCTACAGTTTGAGAGCAAATTGACTTGCCTTTCCTTGGAAAGAATCTATAAGATAGTGAAAAGGTATTTGCACAACTGTTCCTTTAAGCATTTAAAAGGCACGGAGCATCGAGTAAAAGCTGAACCCCATCCTAAAAAAGCCACACAAATTTGTAAAAACATGGGCTTTACTTTCATGCTTTCCCAGGTTATAATTGAAGTGAAATTTAATTGCTCACTGGCCAAGGAAGTTCTCTCAGCTATCTTTCTGCTATATCAGGTTCCATGATTCTGATTATCACTTCACTAAAGGAAAGCAAACCTGCACTGACCAGTATGTACTGCTAGTAACCGAGTTCTGTTGTCACTTACTTGTATATAACCTCCATGTTGCGTGATCTGCAGATATTACATTGCCCAGGAGGCAATTTTGGGAGGCAAAAGCATTCATGTTGTGTCAGAGGCATTCTTTCTCCAATCAGATACTTATTGTATTCCACAGAAAGTTCCTGGATAAATTTTATTAGAAGACTTCCTAAGAGAGTAGACAGATGTGAAACCTTTAGTGCAGGGTTTTGTTTTCTGTCCAAAACTAGAAGAAACAGAGACACTCATAAGTACCCCATGTAAAATATTTAGCAAGTTACACCCAATCTTAATGGCCAGGAAAGCTTTGTTGCTTCTTCCAGAGGGAGGAAAGCGGGAAAGCACACAAAAATGGACCTGCAGACCTGTGTCTGGTCTGAGTATGGCCCAGAGAGGAGCAACAGTAAGCTACTACCTTAAAAATTCACCAAGCCTTCGCAAGGAGAGCTGTGGACCAGACAAGCCATCCATCAAGACACAGACTGCGTAGCCACGGTGAGCCACAGGTCTCCCAGGACAGGATGAGTGCATAACGCTTACCACCATGCCGAAGGTCTGCGTCTATATCTGTGAGCTCCAAATTGAACATTACAAGAACACCAGCCAAGGCAAAGTCACGCTGGTCCTTCCAGAATTTGCTTTTGTTGTGTGCATTGCAGTGACAGAGGGAAGGGGTTGTCCAATTCTCGCACTATTTCATAAAATGTGAAAAACAGGGAAAGGTTTTGGGGTTTTTTTCCTCTCTCTTTTTTCCCCCTCCAGTTGAGCAAATCAAAAGTTCCTTTGAATGAACGACTACAGTTTATTTCATCCTTTACACACCTAGGCAAAGCCACAGTGAAGTATTTTGATAGTCAGGGCAAGAGGCCAATATGGCAATAACTGGATATTATGGCTAACAACAACAAAAAAGCCCACAGTAATTTACTGTCATTCCTGAATACTCTACAGAGATGCCTAGGGCTGGCACCCTTCCCAGTGTAAATTGTTAACAGAGCACTGTCTTTGCATGTTCACCCCAACTTTGCTCACAGTTCAAAGACTTCTGAATTCTAAGAAAACCACAAACAAACAAACCCCACACACTCAGTTCCCACCCCTCACCCACTCCCTCACTCTAGGTTAGGACAGTCTAGAAGTTTGACATTTCCCTAGTGCAGTGAGAAGCAGTCTGATTTAGTAATTTGATTCCATGAAATATACCATGTGCCTAAAGCAAACAGGAGGTACATTCGCTTATTCCAAGTGAATGTCTACTCCAACAACTGGCTGGACTACTAGAAATAAACCCAGACAGTGACCACATCTTTAGTAGCATTGCGAAGCAGACAGTTACCAACATTTAGGAGAGGAACTGTTAAAATAATCAAATTTCATGTATCATTTATCCTTTTAGTGTGCTTAAGAGTGATTCCTTTTAAGAAGACTGTTGAGCAATTTAGTTTACGCAAAGTTGTCCGTTTCTTGATTACAGCTCTTCTTACCTCAGAAGCTAGTTTATCACAAATGTAGCAGTAGCACTGATTACACGTATCAGCATTTTTTCCAAGGGGTGAGCAAGTATCACATTCTGTTCGCCTACGAAATTGAAAACCAGAAGGTTACTTATGAAACAAGTTACATGCTTATTCAACTCTGCTTCTGCTTTCAGCTGTTAAAAAGCTAACAATGTTATTTGACAAGATGGACTAAATGTGGAAAATTAAACCCCTATATTAAACTCCACATCACTGAACATACTCAAAGGGGTGTATTGTACAGTCATATCTTGCATGAGGCATCAATTTTGCTTGTTTACAGAAAGTAACCATTAGTTCACATTCCTCATCCACAACTTCTTCACATTTCTGCTCTTCCAGGGCAGACTTCTCTGTAGAAAAAAGAATATGCAGTGTAAATCAGTGCAAGGGTAACTACAACTTCATTATAAATTCAACCAGCTATTGACTTCTACTTTTTAAAAACACTTTAAAGCAAAAATTTTCTTATGAAAATTCATATGGTGCCAATAAGAATGGTACAGTGGCCTGGGGCAAAAAACTTCCACACACTATCAAAACAGAGATAATGTAATCAAAATGATCCAACTGACATTGAAAAGGCCCAGTCTCAGCTAAGACTGTAATGTTTTGAAACTACACAGCAGTATCCTTTAGGGTAAGTAGTGCCGTCATAAAAACCACAAAGGTTATGAAATAATGACAGTTCCTCCTGGTTTTATTAATTTTTGAAGTTCTTTGTTTTCCTAGCTGCAGAAAGACACATTCCAAGCATATCACACAGTGATTTACTTCAGTTTACTTCAAAAGCTCTTTACAGGACTTCATTGACAACAGGAACACAGTACTTACCCAACGGGTCTACTAACAGAACAGAACTCCCAAGCGTGCTCTCGGCTTCATCATCACTGATCAGGATTACGCTCTGCTCTTTCTCTTCTTTTTTTGATGGCCCCATGGTGATTGAGCGCCAAAGTAAAGGAACTAGTTAGCAGCAACTACGACACAAAGATCGTTCACACTTTGAAGGTCCTTTCCTCAAAAAGGGAAGAAAAAGACTTGTCCAAGACCCAGACTCTTCATCGATGCTGAGTAAGTTACGCTAGGGACAGAAACATTCACCCCTTACTGCAGTCAGCAGCTCAGAAAACATCGTGGTTTCCATCCAGACCCGAGAGAACCCTAAAAACAAGGAGGTGGGAACAGCAGAAAGAAAAAAACAAAAGGATGAGAGCTGGCGTCCCCTTGGCGGGGCCACCCTCGCACGTTACTCGCAGTAACTTGGCCGTCCCTTGCTGATGCGATGCCCAGCGCAGGCCCGCCTGCCCCCTCCCCTCACACCCTCAGCTCCCCAACCGCAAACAACACCCCGGCCCTCAGGCCGGAACCT